CATTGAAACTGTAATTGATTCTCTCATTTTACTTGATGGGTTAATTCGATCATGAGCACTTGGTCTGATCATGTGAATTTGGTGACTGGAAGGTGGAACTAATTAACACTAAAGATCTTTGTTTTTGAGGTTGTTGTAAGCCAGGCCATCCAGGTAGACCAGGACCACCTGGACAAAACGGAAAACCAGGAATACCTGGCGCACCAGGACGACCGGGTTAGTTCACTATCTGATTGGTTTGTTGCATCAGTGGAAAACATTAAACTGTAGATGACACTCAGCAGCGTGGTTCTGCTGAGTTTTTGCAATAGGGTGGTGAGATGCACTGATGCACACTCTTCATTGCTTCTCTTTTCCATCTTTTTAATACATAAACACCAAATAACCATCTCTGAAAATGACGGCCGGCTTCAATGAGAACGATTCGAAAATTGCTCTAGAACAAAACTGGATTATTTTACGATTCCTAAAATGATGACGAAAAACGACAGTATTCTGGCAAACTCGAAAATCGGAAAAAGATTGTTCAAAGGGATAGTTTGGCAAAACTTATCAGCAGAACTTTTGCGTTGGAATTCAGGCGAACACATACACGTAAACGTGCAATAAAAATATATGAACCAGTTATGAAAAATCAATTGACTGGGTAGTATTCAATCAACTAAAAAGATAATTTTAGGTGCACCTGGACGTCCACCAGTGATCTGCGAAGAGCAAGACATTCCGCCGTGCAATCCATGCCCACCTGGTCCGCCTGGACCACCAGGACCAGCTGGAGCACCTGGAAATCCAGGCAGACCTGGACCTCCTGGAAGGCCTGGAAACAATGGTTTGTTTTAGAATCTATCATTTGTGTGAGTCTGCTGAGTGAAACGTTGGAAGAGTTCAAGCTCAGTCTATCTAGAAGACTTCAAAATTCTAAGTGGAAGTTATCATTATGCACAAGAAATGATTCGTTTTCGATGATTAAAAAGTCATTTTGGCTTAAAAACTGAAAAAGGTTGACGCGCTTGATGAAGAATGAGGTGAAATAGATGATGAGTAGGAATGCAATTAATTTGGTCCTAGAAAAAGTGTGTCAAACTGTAGTCGTATTGTGTTGCGGTGATTTCGTTGAAAATTATTCGCATACCTGTAACCGAAGAATTGTAACTGGAATGAATATGCAACTGGTTTTGAGCGTCG